CTTGCTGAGCGGGTGAGTGAGCACATTGAGGGCATTTCGCTAGGGCCAACGCGACATTGGTTGCAGGGATTGTTGCAAGCTATCCTCATACAGCTCCCCACCAGAGCGCGCTTGTAACATTGTGTTCCGCGACTCCGTGGATGTGCACCGTTTGTTCCTGTATCGTAGTTTAGTTCCCTGCAGTGCGACGCAGTCAGCTAGGCGGGTGGGAAAAACCCTAAACCCCAAGCCCTAAGATTATGGCTATGATTCATTCGGTGCCATCCTATGGTAGCTAAGTGCCTAGGCCGAGAAAACTGTAAAACCTTAAGCACTTTAAACGTCCAGAATATTTCGAAGGTCTAAAAGGCTGCCTCAAGGGAGCTTCCTAAACACTTTTCCTACCTAGAATGTTAAACATGTCACGGGTTGACAGTTTTAAGTGTCAATCGTACCCGGTGTGCCGGGCCACAAATCCGCAGATCCCAGGCCCCCGGAAATCACTTAAGTTCTATTCTTTTAGGCAAGCATTCTACATGTCTAGATGCCAAGAGAAGTTGACATGTCTCAAAGGTAATGTGTAAATGCCAGACTGTCTAACAGTTCGACTTAGACTGTCGATTGCGTTCAAAAAGAAGCTGTTTAAACCTTTCAGTATCCACACTGCTTCACAGGGCTGAAGTGGTAAATCCTGCCCGGCACGCCTGAGCAGGCAGACAGGTCACCGTATGTTCTACAACCAGGTTTTCCCTTGACGCAAGCAGGCTTTAGTGGTCCATATCAGTTTTCCCGTTGCAACCAAGCCAGACCTCTCTCTGCTTTCCAGAATGGGGGTCAAGACAGCCAAGCCAAACAAAGGAGCTCATGAAGACCAGGAAAACACGATGGCAGCGAGAGGAGGAACGGAGGGACGGGCGGCTCCACAATGGGTTCCTTTGAATAAAACAAACGAAAGAACCGCCGAATTTCTGCTAAATGCGATGGCAGCGAGGAGGATGAACGAAGGAAAGAGGAGAAAGGTTCAGACCACCTCACCATCCTCATTCATTGTCTTTGTTCTTGCAAACTCGAAGGAGAACGTAAAAAGAACGGGACATGACGCAGCCACAATGCCATCTTCTGTATTCACAACCTTCTGTCTCCTCTCTTTTCTTGTCACCCAAGTATGGTCTGCAGCCAAGCTCTGCTCTGATGCAACAAGAGTTTAGCTGTTCACATCAGGTGGCCTCTGGCTCATATTTCCACAACGGGCTCGACAGAGAAAAAACAAACAAGGGCACGGACGAAGACCACGAAAATCAAGAGGGCGGGTAGGGTCTGCAACGAAGCTGTGTCCTAATGCAAGAAGGCTTTTTGGTAGTCCACATCAGCACGCCTCTTGGAGCACAGTGAGCTGCTGAAAGCTGGAACGGCCACTCTGTTGCATCGTCCAAAAGTCTTTGCTCGCTGTTCCGTGGCAGCGGGTCCACATCAGCACATCGCCACCTGTAGCCGGACCAAGCCTGTCCTTGTTCCTTTTTCTGTGTCAGAAATGATTGCGCACCCTGTCTTTCCACGTTATTCTCTTTTATCCTTCATCATTCAAGAGGGCCCAGCAAGAGAAGATCGGGATGCCGATTAGTAAGGCCCTTATCTTCTGTGGTATTACTTCTCTGACTTCTCTCTCCCACTCTCTCGCTCTCTCTCTCTCTCCCTCCCACTCTCTTTCTCTCTCTCTCTCTCTGCTTTCCCGGTGTTTGGATTTCTCTGAGTTGTCCGAAAGATTTGCAAGTTGAAAGACAAAACCACGAGGTGCATCAAGCAAAGAAGGCATGAGCAGAAAAAGACCACAGTGCCACCCCTCCATCTACTCTCGTCTAGCATCCCTTTTTTTACTCTTCTCTTCAAAAAATGCCCGGACGAAACAAAACGAAAGAGAAGATTGAAGGGAGGGGGAAACAGAGAGAGAGAGAGAGCGAAGCAGTGAAGTGAAGTGAAGCGAAGCATACGACACTTCCCTTGTCCGTCGCTCTTGCTATTCTTACAGGTGTGGACAGGTGGGAGGGCGACAGAGTTAAATCCTCTTGCGAGCTTGCTTTCCTTTTAGTCTCACGTTTTTGCTCCACATCAGTATGTCCCCTAAACCCATACCAAGTCTGTCTTCGTTCTTTCGAACAATATCCTTCTTTTTCCGGCAATGGGGAGGAAAAATGAAAAAATGTTGGGGGAGGGCGAGAAAAGACCATCAGAGCAGCTTCGCTCATTCTGAAGGTCCTTGCTACACCATTCTAATGTCTCGGTGCATGGGCGAAGCAATGCAGGAAGGTGTATGTGGGTTCAAGAAGCTCAGGTTCCATTTAAGTTTGTAGGAGACCTCAACTGAGTAATTAGGATCCTTCACCAAAGGACCCTGAATCAGGTACCTGAGGCGTTCTCGTTTGAAGGGGTCGTTGTGATAAGGATCCACTGTATTAGGGTTCTTTTTCGCTGAAGTTGGAAGATTGCCATCAATCCTGCGGCACCGTCTCCCACGATCCGAAAGTTGCGGTTCAGGTCAAAAGGCTTCCTTTCTAGGGCCTCCCTTTTTTTGGGGCAAGCATGGCCTTAAAGGGCTCAAAAACGTATCTGAGAGACAGTACTGTTCGAGTGATGCTCCGCGTGCATAATGTCTACAAGCGCCGGAACCCTCGAACCACCCCCTGAGCCCTTCAACCCCTAAGCCTGAATCGAGCCCGGCACTAGAAGAGCCGTAACTACGCTCAGCCCCAGGCCCTGAAGCCTTGCATCCTCAACACCGAGCCGTCTAGCCCAAAGAACTTAACCCGAACCCCAACACCGAGTCAGCGAAGCGGCTGGGACAAACTCACCACAAAGCCGTCCAGCCCAACCCTGTCCCCTCTCCGAGCACCGCGGAAAAACCCTCAGCCCCCAAACCCTCCAAGCCGTTGATGCGAATACGAACATTGATGCTAGACTTAGAACTATAGCACATACTAGTACTATAGCACCAACTAACGGCGAAGATTATCCCGCGAAGCTGAGGAGCCTTTCTTCCGGCCGTTGAAGAAGCAGAGCCGTACTCAGGAAGTCCTGAGCCGTGCGAGCAGCTTGCTTTGAGGGCATAAACAGATTCCGAGTTTCGGGTCTAGGCGTTTTGGGGTTAAGGGCTTCGGTTCATAGGGCTTTGGGCTTTGAGTCCAAATCGCAAGCCTGTCCTCATTACTTGTATGTAGAGTTCTTCGCACTCGTCGCAAGATTTCAGAGTGTTGCATGGTGTAATCCCGGAACAATCCCAAAAGTTTCAGTCTCAGTTCTCAAGCACATCGGAAGCGTGCTCTTCACCCAGATGGCGAGCTTTTTGGGTGGATAGCTTGGAGAGAGCGGGAGCTGATTTTCAACCGCAGGCACCCCAACATGAAAGTTAAATAAGGGCTGATACACATTCTCGGCAAACAAACAGAAATTCTGAAAGTGAAACGTGTGTGTGTGTGTGTGTGCTTTTCTGCTGGAAACATTTACGCTTACAGCATGAACACACGCAAAGAACATAATGAAGTATGACATGTGGCAGTTGTAACGACAACTTGTGCTGGGTGATGCCCCGCCAGCCAAGCTGCCCCGGGACTTGACGGGCGTGATTCGGCTCGGTGCTGCAATGTATGTTCGCACCCGGCGCCTGCCACTGAAGCCTCCATTGCCTATGTATTCCCGGAGCCATGCAAGGAAGAAAAGATGGGTGCACAATGACTGCGGAGGACTGGCTGTTCCCTTCCTGCCTGCCCGAGACACCTTGTGACAAGGGCCAAGCAGGTGCCAGGAGGGCTGCATTATAAATTTGCTGTCGCCCCTAAATAGTAGGATCCACGATGTGTACATCCACCATAAAGGACGAATCAGGGAGAGTGGGTTAGGGGTTCAGGAGGGGAGTTTAGGATCCACACATTGACATGCACACCCCAAGCTCTGAGCTGCCCCTATTGAAAGCAGGAGTATGACTCAAGGTGTTTGGGTAATGGGCAGGACAAGTCTCTACACTGTAAGCACTGCGGGGTGCCAGGTTTCCATAGCTTCGGGAGACTTTGAGAGCGACAAACCTGGACGTGGACCGCTGAAAAGCGTTATCCTGGTAGTGATAGCTTCGTAAAACCCTTCTTTGTCCACTGCTAAGGGGGTGTCGTCTAGCTAAATCATCCCCTTGGTTGTCGTGAAATCATATGAAAATCATTCTGTCCACCCTCCTGCTTCATCTCATTGGGAGGATCGCTTCGACATGCCCGAGGAGGGCGGCGGCGGCGGCGGCCTGTTTGACCAAGACAAAGACTACCTGAGCCGATCGCTGAGCTTTCCCAGAGAGTTCGATGCATGATGATTGGTAGTTGTGATATATGTTTCTTTCGGCCAAGCTAGTCTGCTGCTGCTCTGACCGTGGCGGCTGTTCTCTCTGGTATGACTGACTCGATGGACTAGCATGTTGCGCAGCGGTCGGGAAGGATGCACAGCCCCGACCGCCCCGCACATCTCCCTCAAGTCCCTCCCTGTGGCAGTTTGCTGTGGCTTTAGTCCTACAGCCGGTATGGATCTCCAGAAACAGGCACTGATGTGCCAATATGCCTGTGTACCACGTGCCCAAAGTTCTAGGTGCACATGTTCATATACACAGCCTTGAGAAAAGACACATGCACCGAAAGAGCAAAAGAAGCTAGTGAGCCATACTAAGGCTCTGACAAAGCCTTAGCAACACACTTTCTAAGCCCTTACAGAACCCTGTAATACGCCATCTCTTCGTTGTAGAACCTTTACAGGAGCCCGTACGCAGCACACCAAAAGATCTGGCCATGGTTTAGGTTGACAGAAAGAGCCTAATATAGAAAACAGAATCATGACTCATATCATTCCTTAGGGTTTTTCTGATGTATACTCGAATCTACCCCAAACCTTTTTCTAGGAACTGGGCCCCTGCACCAAAACCCTACAGAGCCCTTATACAACCAAATTCCACCCCGACCCTTATACTAGCAGGCTACGACGAGTTTGAGCAGCTGATGGGTGGGAAGCTGATGGGACAACATCTCGACAAGAGCAAGGGCGACACGCTACCCGGTTAGGGTTTAGGGCTCAGGAACTTTTTTGGTGTTCATAAAGCCCTACTGCTACGTCTATAAAGCTGACCGTTCGGTCCGGGGTATTCAGCCCTTCGGAACTTCCTCACGAGAAAAAACCTAAACCCCAAACCTTCAACCCTAGAATCTCTGAAGCTTGAACCGGGCAGGGTTTAGGAGCCAGCAGTTAGGAATGTGTGACCTGCTTCCTACAGCTCTTTCTTTCCAAAAGACCTATGCCTTAAAGTCTTAAGCCGCAGACACTGCAGCCATGCGTTGCACTTCGTGGTGAAAGCCTTGGGTTTGCTCATTGCTCGTTAGACCCCGTCTGGGGTTTCGCACTCTGAGGGGCCCTGAGGCTCAGCGGTTCTCCTCAACCTTAGTTTATCCATTCTCTCCAAGGCTTGGTCCTACACCTTAAGCCATAGGTCGAGGCTCTCAGCCCTGCACCGTAAGTCGAGGCTTTGAGGCGCATCCCCCGTCCGTTAGGGCTGACCGCCGGAAGGTGACCCGGCACCCCCCGAACCCCAAACCCCGCTACTGTGGAACGCCTTGTCCGAGCTGTGAAAGCGTAAACCGACAAACCCTCCCAAAACTCAAAGAGACTGTGGCAGACTTCCTCAGCGGCTCGTGCATGCGTGTATGTGTGTGTGTGTGTATGTATGTATGTATGTATGTATGTATGTATGTATGTATGTATGTATGTATGTATGTATGGAATGTATGTATGTATGTATGTATGTATGTATGTATGTATGTATGTATGTAT